GCAGCCCCGGAGAGCAGCCCAGCGGGGGAGACGATCCGCCCTCGGCCGCCCTCTCGTGGTTTTCCAGACCTTTGCAGGGCAGGTCCGGGTGCCGGATGCTTGGCCACCGCGGGTGACACACGCAGAGCAGCCGGAGGCTGAACCGCCACCGTTGTGTAATGAGCGAAGATCATCCGTAGGGCAGACCGCGTATTGTTTATTAAACCAGTCTACGTAGCCGCCCTTCTCCCCCCGGGTGACCCTGGGCGGTGTACAGCAAAGCTAAAAACAGCCAGTAAATACGAGAAAAACATAAAAAGCAAAATAAAACACAGAATAAAGTTTTATTTAAATACATGAACTGGGACATATGCTTGAAACTCCATCAAAAGCTAAGTGAAATGGAGTTCACTGGATCAGCTCCGGGGGCCCCAATCAACTTTTGGCCCTCCAGACTGAACTGGGACTAAAACCCGACGGCCGCAGCGGCTGAGGAATCCCGTAGGGCGAATTATGTCGGGTGGCGGCAGATTGGAGGGACCGGCTCCAGCTCTCCCTCCTTGCACGTCTCTGTGCCGTTAAGAGCGTGTGGCCCAGCACCTGAAGCAGGTGAGCCGTTTCTCTTACGCTCCTCCGGCCGAGTCGCCTCCCCTGCTTCTTTGCTGCAGTTAAAGGCCCAGGAGCAGGGCCAGCTCCAAAAGCAGAACTCGAAAGAGGCTGCGAGGAACTCTGGAGAGACTCGGCCGCAGAAGTCCAGACAGACAGACCGTCTGTCCTGGAGAAGCCCGGGGGGCTGAGATGAGTGTCTTCCCTGTCGTGAGTAACACGGTGCTCAGGAAAACTCAACTGTCCCCAGAGAACACAAGCATGAGGCCGCAGAGCAACCCTTCTCCCAGCAGGACCAGCAGAGATTCAGGAAGGGGTTAAGCAAATAATTAGGAGCTCATTGGCAGAGAGAGAAGCACGAAAGGGTCCTATTTACGTGGGGAAAGCTATAAGAAAGTAGCTTGAGGTATTTCTGAGAGGGAGTTTTGTGAAACTACGATGGATGTTGGGAAGATCTCAGAATACCTTCTGGAAGCGGTTACATGCGCTTTATGTCTGAATGTGTTCAGTGAGCCGGTGACTCTAAGCTGTAGCCATAACTTCTGCAGCGCTTGCATCCAAAAGAGCTGGGCAGGTGCTCAGAGCAATGTTCGTTGTCCTCAGTGCCAGCAGAGTTTTGCTAGCGTGGCCTTGAGGCCAAATGGGCAACTGGAAAGCGTCTCGTGGCTTATCAAGCAGCTGCAGGAAAAAGGCGTCCTGAAGAAAAGGCTTTGTGAGGCTCACCAGCAGCCTGTGAAACTTTTCTGCCAGGATGACCAAGTTCTCCTCTGCTTCGAGTGTGAGAAGTCCCAGGCTCACGTGGGCCACGTGTTTGCTTCTATGGAAGAGGCAGCCCATAACTTCAAGGTATGGATGGGTTACTCTTGGATTCAGGTGAAGTGAAGGAATCTCCCTCAAAGGGACTGGCTTCCTACTTGCGGTAGACCGGGTGGTGAGGGAGGTTGACCTGGTTGTTGGGCAGAGTTGCCAAGCGGTTGGCCTGTCTTGCCCCTGTGACTCCAGCAAAAACTGATAGTCTGTCTGGGAGCATATATCGTATTAAGATATGATTTGCGTAACCATGGTGAGTTTAATAAGCCACATGGGTTGAGTTCATGGAACCATTAAGTCAAAAACAAGCAAACTATGTTATGCTTTGGGATGTTCTGTGGTCCTGCTCCAGCTACACTGAAGTAGCTCAAATTTTTGCTCAGAGTGCAGCAGCAACTTTATAGGATGAACATATATCCCCGAACTTTGCCCTGTGTAGAAGAAAGTTAATTCGTACCTATGTGCAGGCATTAGCTGAGGAACTAGCTTGTCTGCAAACTGAAGTTCAGGCTGCAACCAACCAACTTCCTTCCTCTGACCATAGCTTGGCCAAGGCTGCCCAAAACATTCAGGGCTGGGAGGACCCTTGACCTGGGTCCCTCCACAATCAAACACAGCGTGTGGTCTCTGTTTAGAGTAATGGCCTCTCTCTTCCAGCGTGAAATCAATGTGCTTTTGGAACTTCTGAAGCTTCGGGAGGGACACGTCCGAGCCAGCTTTTCAGATGTGCTAACAGAAAGACAAAACCTGGAGGTAAGGTCCTTGGTCTGCTTCTCTTTGGGGAAGAGAGTCGCTCTGTGGTGAGATGGGCAGTGACAAATTTGAAATATAAATAAATGTATCCTATCCTATGAGTAGCTTGAAAGCAAAAATGTCAGGCTTGAGCTCGTACTGGAGAGAGTTGTAGTTCTCTCCCTCCTACGGTGCACAGTTAGATATGCAGCTTTATACTTTTTTTTTAACTTGTGAGCTGCCTAGAGTCACTATACAGTGAGATGAGCGGTGTATGAATTAAATTGGGGGGGGAGGGAGTGTATCACATTGGAAGGCTCTCTGCTGAGGGGGACGTGAATGCGCTCTGGTACTCTGCTCAGTTCCATTGGGGAAGTTGAGGCAACAGATGTTGACGGTATCTTAGCTTCCTCTGCTGGACCGTGGCTGCCCTGCTGCCTGTTCTTTTTCCACATATTTGCATTGACAAAGCTTCATTCCTGAGTAAAGTTTTAAAGCCAGGTAATGTGGGTGTGGCTCACCAGCCCAGTCTTTTCCTAGCCTGGCATCCTCCAGATGTTTTGGAGGTAGAACCCCCCTGCCAGCATCTTACAGCCCAACTCATCTGGAAGGAATTAGATGGGGGAAGCAGCAATGATCGTTGCATCATGTGTCTTGATGAGAGGGGGGTTCATCTCCCCAACATACCAAGACTGCACATTATTTGGCACTGCTATGAATTACAGGTATCTCCTAACAGACCTTTTCCTTAATCATCAACTGTGGTCCAATGGCTAATCTGTGCAACACATCCACAGTTTGTTCATAATCTCAAGAGACTTGCCTTATTGGAATAAGACCACTGACTCACCCAACAGGGTCTTGAAAGCCCAGGTAGAGGTTCTTCCAGCTGTGCTAGCAAGGAATGCCTTCTGAATTGGAGGTGCTGCAGATTACAGTCCTGTGCAATCCCATTGGCATTCTTGGTTAGCATGTTCTCAAGCTGAACGTGATTTCATGGTTTGACTTGGTGGTCCGACTTGGGCTTCTACAAAAGCTTGGCTTTTGTTCCTGGTGCTCTTCTTCCTTTCTCCCCCCCCTTAGAAAATTATGGAACATGGCAGTCAGAGGTTTGTCTCAGAATACAAGGAGCTGTACGAGACAGTGCAGAAAGTGCAGACGGAGCAGCTGACCCTGGCCCGGTCAATCAGCGAAGACATCGAGCAAGAGCTGTCTGAGCTGGTCAGGAAGTACAACGAAGTGAGGGCATTAAAGAGGGAGCTGGCCAAAAAGAATGAAGAAGAACCTGCTTATGAATTCCTACAGGTAGGCTGGTCAGGAGCCTCCAGGAAGTGGGAGCGGTCCAAAATGTGAAGGTGGCCTTGGCAGTGAAATGGAGGGGTGGTCGTTCAACAGATGCAGCCTACTTCTAAGAGGAGGTGTTTGAAGGCAGTGAAGATTTGGCCATATTCCCTATGCAAAAGCTTTTTGACTCAACTGGCTTTTCCCTGGAGGGTGGTGCAGAGCAGTGGGGGGGGGG